TTCCTTTTTAAAGGAAAACTCCACTTTTCATTTCATTCTCCACAATTCCAGCCATCTGTAAAATTCTCCGCTCTCCCATGTGACGTGTCGGCGGCCGCTCTGCCTTTTGTTTGAAGTGTTTCAATCCGACATGAAGCCGCACAATGCGTTGCACCAGAAAGGACTTCCTGCTCACAGTTGTCATAAGCTGACACAAGCAGAAACCCCAAATGCGCTCACGTCGGTAAAACACCCGGGTTTTAGGCTGCGTCTGCAGTCTGTATGATGAGGTCACATGTGCATGCTCTATGACCCTTGACCCTTTCACTGCCAGAGCCGATATTTTTTTCATGCTTCATTCGGACGTCTGCAGCGTTACCCAATGTGCGGCGCAGTCGCAGTTTTCTTGACCCGACATATGTGTTTCAGTTTATGTGTATGTGGCAAGCAATGCATGATGGTATATGTAGTCTTGAGAAATGGAGATTGCATCACATCAAGCAGCAGGGAAAGAGATGCAAAGCACACTGGGGATCCAGGAAGTTGTTGGAAGTGATGGGCAGACATAAGGCGGCGCTCACTACATGAAAGGGATTTCTTTTTTTTTCAATAAGCCTAGGTTGTATTATCAGAAACAAGTCCCCCCATGTGACAGCATAGTGCCGGTGACAGGTTCTCTTTAAAGACTTGCCGGTAGTCTATTAGACTGCTAATGTCACCTCTGCTGATTGAGTACAGACTGTGCTTGTTCAGCTTCAGCCATGGCCAGAGCGGCTGGGGTTTGACAGCCCTGAACCCTGAAGTGCTCAGAGCTGAGCGCTTCCTGGTTCATGCAACCCAGAGGAGATCAGCAAATGGATCCTTGAGGCAGAGGATCACAGGTGGCTCCATATTGTTGCTTCAGCTCAGCCCATTTACGACCATGACAGATTGGCAGTGGGCACAGCTGCCCGCCTTCGTAGGTATTCGCAACTTAAGCGATTATCTCCAGCTAGAGACAGACGATCACCCCAAATGCAAGCTTGCATCCGTCTGCAATCTAACTGGAGGCAGACGCTAGTCGCTTCGTCCACTGTTAAGGTGCCCATACACCTGCTGATTATCGTACAATAATCGCGGGAAAACCCGCGATCGTACGATAATCGGCAGGTGTATGGAAGGCGTGCGACCGTTTCTACTGTACGGTCGCAGGTCTTTTGTCTTTATGAGCATGTTCGAAAACCAGCCGAGCATCGTACGATTGTCGGCGGGTTTGTGGCATGCTCGTAAGATAAACACCGCAAGGTGCCGGTGTGCGCAAGCGCACGCTGCCCGTTCAGCATTGCAGTCATCGGAAGCCCGCCCCTCAGCGGGGCCGGCTTGCGATGATCGCAAGTACGATCTGCCTGTCCGAGATGCCTTGCGTTCTACTTTTCTACAAAAGTCTGGCGATGGTTGTAAGGTCTATGGCCAGCTTTAGCCTGATGTTGCTTTGTACGTGCCGAGTGGCCGCATCTATCCGAAGCCATCTGTCATTGCTGCTTCCAGAATCCATTTACTGATTTCCCCCTGAAATTCCGTCCGAACCAGGAAGTGCTCCGCCCTGAGCACTTCAGGGTTCAGGGCTGTCAAACCCCGGGCACTATGCAGCGGTGTATTTAGGAAACCCGCTGACCTAGGTAGGACAGCGCCGCGGCCGCCCCCCGGACTAACATTAACATTTCATGGACTGGCCGACAGCCGAAGGCACCAAGGGGGCTGACATCATGAGCCGCCGCCTCGCCATCAGCAAACAACAATCCCCCCGGCTGACATCATGAGCCGCCGCCGCCTTGCCATCACCGAACAACACCACAACCCCCCCGACAATCACTCACCGGAGCAGTCAAACCAGCGCCGCACGCTGTATGGTCACCGCCGGGAGCCGCAGTCCGCGCAAGAAGCCGTCCACGTTCCCGGGCCCGCAACCCGCGTCCGCGTCACCGCCGCTACGATGTCCTAAGGTTCTCTCCCCTTCTCTCAATCTTCTCTCCCCGCAGCAATTGCCGCCCTCTGCGAATCTGCCGCCCCAGGCAAACGCCTTGTTTGCCTCGCGTCAGATACGCCCCTGGCACTACGGCAACAGAACTATGAGGCCTTATGGACACTATTATTCTTTTCTACATCTTTTATATTTACATTTTTTTGTTTTATTTTATGTATATTATTCCATTTCATGCAATATTCACTCCAATGTGACATTTCACTGCAGAGTGATTTTTTTTTTAATGCATTATTGGAATATTTCTATGATTTTTGTTATGAATAAAGCACTTTTAATAAGTGTCATTTATGGCCGTGGACACAAACTTCTATTTTGATCATGTTTTATGTTGATTTTGTAGCCCTGATGAAGGAGGGAGTGTTTTGGTCCCTGAAACGTGTCAGCTGTTTTATAAATTAGAGACGAGAAGCATCACAGACTCTCATCTTTTGGTCTGGGGCTCCTTGCTCTATTTCTATGGTTTGAGCCCCTTCCGGGTACCCATTGAGTGACTCCTTGCAGTATGGGGAGGTTGTCTCACCGGAGCCAGTGAGCTTGTTTGTAAGAACAAGTCCCGACGCCTCTTTAATGTGTCTTTCTGGATTTCCTTTTTATGAGCTGGTAATAATTAGATTCAGTTTTCAGCGGCAGGTGACGAGTATCAGCCGCAGGTCACCTAATTCCTGCGAATCGAGGTGGAGCCGTTCTACTTTTCCACTTATACTTTCTTTGTTACAGCAAGTCTGTGTCTGCATCCAATCCGCACAATAAACTGGAGCCCGTTATCCTTTCAGGATGGAGGAGGAGGGGGTCCGAGGGATTTGAGCTGTCCCCAGCATGATGCAGAGAAGGTCCTTTGCTCTCTCTGGGGAAGCAGTGGTCTTTCTGCAAAGGTCTGATACGCCCCCTTTTTGCTGAGTCCTAGAGCTCTCCAATCACCAGGCAGCATGATGCTTGAGCTATAGGTCTGAGGGGGTGCGAGTTGGACCTCCTGCAGAGGGACCAATGCTTCCGCACACAGAGCAAGGGTCCCCCTCTGCAGAGAGAACACTGCTTCCAGACAGCAAGGGTCCTCCTCTGCAGAGTGACCACTGCTTTCACACACAGCAAGGGTCCGCCTCTGCAGAGTGACCACTGCTTTCACACACAGCAAGGGTCCTCCTCTGCAGAGTGACTACTGCTTTCACACACAGCAAGGGTCCGCCTCTGCAGAGTGACCACTGCTTTCACACACAGCAAGGGTCCACCTCTGCAGAGTGAAAACTGCTTTCACACACAGCAAGGGTCCGCCTCTGCAGAGTGACCACTGCTTTCACACACAGCAACGGTCCGCCTCTGCAGAGTGACCACTGCTATCGCACAGAAAACAAGGGTCCTCCTCTGCAGAGTGACCACTGCTTTCACACACAGCAAGGGTCCTCCTCTGCAGAGCGGCCACTGCTATCGCACAGAAAACAAGGGTCCTCCTCTGCAGAGCGGCCACTGCTATCGCACAGAAAACAAGGGTCCTCCTCTGCAGAGTGACCACTGCTTTCACACACAGCAAGGGTCCTCCTCTGCAGAGCGGCCACTGCTATCGCACAGAAAACAAGGGTCCTCCTCTGCAGAGTGACCACTGCTTTCACACACAGCAAGGGTCCGCCTCTGCAGAGTGACCACTGCTTTCACACACAGCAAGGGTCCGCCTCTGCAGAATGACCACTGCTATCGCACAGAAAACAAGGGTCCGCCTCTGCAGAATGACCACTGCTTTCACACACAGCAAGGGTCCGCCTCTGCAGAGTGACCACTGCTTTCACACACAGCAAGGGTCCGCCTCTGCAGAGTGACCACTGCTTCCGCACAGAAAGCAAGGGTCCTCCTTTGCAGCATTTTGCAGGCTTTTCTACTCTATGGCTGCGTTCTAAAGAGAACGAACTGCATGACTCTGCACACCCTTTTGTTTTGATGTGCCTGAGATGTATTTATCTGATTTAAACTGAAATTGGACTTTTTCAAGCGGCCTAAACAGCCGGGTAACCCCACACGCGGCGCGGGGGGGAGGGGCGGGGCAGGGTGGGATATGCCTGTTGTAGCTCACAACGTACAATTGCTTTTGTTTTTGCTAGCGACTTTTATGCTTTCAGCCCCCCATTAGCGCTGGGTGAACGCGCCATCTTGCACCACGTGCCATCGCTAAGAGAGATCCAGATTCAATATTGGCTTTGTTAGTGGATCTGATTGCTGTGAACGCTCCGCTCGTACGAGGAGTAGTACTGTGTGAAATAAAGTGGAACTCCTGACATGTTTCCTGTCTTGAATAGAGTGTGGAAGGCGAAGAACCTCTGTTGCCTATTTCTTGCTGTGACGCAGGAAGTGATGTTACATCTCCCCATCAGGGACATAAAGGAGCCTATGACCTTTCTCTGCTTCGGTGACCCCCGGACACCTTCTAGCCATGGCCTATACCGCAGTGTGA